CAGGGAGAAATTAAAATTTTCAAAGCAAAAATAGCAAAAGATAAACTAGCAATATATGTAAATAGTTAATTCTAATTACTTTTTTTTTTTGTTAATTAAACACCAGAACAGAAAGGAGTGATATTTTAGATAGACATCATTCTTCAAGAAAACTGCTTTTCAAAGAACAGTGCTCATTAAAAGGCTACAGGGACACAGTTTTATTTGTTAACTTGTCTTTACTTTTAACATGAACATAAGCCAAAACTTTTACGTATAAAATGCTAGAGAAACTTCTGAAGCAAGCATATGAAATATGCTTTATTTTTGCTTCTCTGATGGACCATAACTAGAGTGGGACATGTTTAATCAAACAGAAGATTAAGAGGATTTAAGGGAGTAATGCCAGATGTTTTCAGGCTAGACTTAAAAATTAGAAAGCAGACCTGCAAAGATTCCTTAATACTAGAATACAAGTTTACATAAAAAATAGTCACACCTGCAGTTTCCTCCAGGGAGATCTTTCCAATTTGAATTATACACATTCAGCATTTTTCAAGTAAAACTAGCATTTCACCTGTGACTTTTGGTACTCCATGTTTTAGAGTTTCTAGTCTTTATAGAATGGCAATAAAAATTATTTTGCCAAAATAATGTCATTAATCCCATTCAATCAAGCCACCATGAATGCAAATCCCCCCAAAGGCCTGCTCTTTCTGCAATATCTGAAAGCATAAATAATTAACATCAACTAAGAATCAAGGACGTGTGCGTAATTACCTAGCAAAACCATACAGTCCTATTGGTATCTTTTTCATTTTTCTAACTCCGTGCTTTTGTTTTGCTAGGTCTTGTCCTTATTTAGACTGCAAGGCCAACAACTAGAGGCAGCTGTCTGAATTTGGATACCTAAGTCTGCCTTTCAGGAAACTACTTAAAATATGGTTGGGTTTTTTTTGTTTTGTTTTGTTTTAGGGATGAGACAATAATTATCCTTTTCACCTTAGTGCAAGCCAAAGGTTCTAGGACCTCAGTGAGTACACAGCACTGGTCATGTCTCTCTGTACCTAAACACCTTGAAGATCTGGGCTCAACTGGTAACTGGAATCTTTTGCGGCCTGTAGTCAGCTAGAAAAAACAGCAGTAACCCATGAACTGCAGGTGTCCATAGCATCTCTAGTTTTGTTAACTGCCTTTAGAAATAGAGCCTGCAGCACAGGCAGCAGAAGCCATCCAAGCAGTTGAAAGTCCTTCCTGAAAGCCAGCCTGCAGTGCCTTCCAATTATTTCTTCAGAATGTTTGGGGATACCATCTTAACTACAGTAAAGACATACTCAAAATTACAAGTAGAACAACATACTCTAGAGTGGAATACTCATCCTACGTTAAATGCAATTAAATTAAGCTATCAGTTGCATTAAATATAACTGACCTACCACTCTTACAAATATACTTCTAAAAATTTAGGACTATTACTAAACCTACACAGTTTGGACCACTAAGTATGCAAAGTCCCCTGAAAGACAGAGAAATTGATGGCAGACATATACTCACACCAGTAAACAATATTCTCACATACAAGCAGTTGCTGATACTGTTCAGCCCTACACAGAATTACTGATTGCATCAGGCAAGAAAGAAAAACAATTACTTTTAAATGGAACTGCTATTAGGCTTTACTGATGAACATCTCCCCCAGACACTAAATTTAGGCTCTTTTCAACGAGGATAATGATTTACTAGGAAGAAACTTACTAACCCTCCTAGTACAGTTCATGTACAAAATTTAAATTTTGCTTAAATACAAAAAATGAGCCTAAAGTTTCTAAATGCAGGTGAACCCAACCACATCTACAAACACTACGGAGGAAAATAACCATCCCACTCTCACCACCTCCTCCTCCCCGCCCCGCTCCCAACAATTCTTCTACTGCAAGTTAGTGAACAAAGTCAATTTAATACAGTAATGCTCATTCTCAAGTGAAAAGGAGTTTCACATTAGGAGTTTCTAGAGAGGTAAGAATCATTTTCTCCACTGATACTTAAATTATTTGGAAAAGTGGAGAGTGTTGTAAAATGTATGTCTCTGGATTCTACTTGACACCTTATCTCTAAGTTAAGTATACCACAGTTCCTATTGACAAAGCCATTTTTCTTTGAAGTACTCTGAAGTCATGCCTTGGATGTTGTATTTCTGAAATTCTTAGTAGATTAGTTTGCCTGCAAGCAGCACTAATTGCCAATTTCAAATTCTGTTGGAAACTCACTGTTTCTACAAGGCCTGGATATACTAGACTCAACTGTATTTTTCAGAGTGTTTTCTCAAGATGTTATGGCCATGCTCCTATAAAAGTCAGAAGAAGAAACATGAACAAGATAACTGCAGGAAAAAATTAAGTGGTGCTGGAAAAACCTTTGCCAGCAGTAACCTCAAGTAAATAGAGTATACTTCAAATCATGCCTTGGAGCAAAAGCCCCCTTCAAACGTTAGCAGCAGTTAGCACAATAGGCTTTTTGTTGTTTACAACAATAAATGAGGTGTCGTTCTGCTTTCTTCAGAAGGCTT